TGGGATGTTTTCTTCAGAATATGTAAAAGTTTAATCTATTAATGCTTTTATTTAGTTTTGTGCATATTATGCAATGCATGTATTTATCTGTGACTGTCAAAATGAGATCTAGCTATGGAAAACAGAACAGCCTGCGTCTGTTAAACTGCTGTTTGTGAAATATTGTTTTCGACTTTAGCTGGACTAAAGGAAATGGAAAAAAGATTCTTATCCAGGAAAACCCTTCACATGTCATCTGACATCTGCAGATGTGAGTTATGAAAAAAGCAAGGTGTCTTGACGCAAGCAAGAAAAAGAGTTCCAGAACAACAAAGTTCAGTAAGATATCTGATTTAAATGTGTTTTACAGTTTACATGTTTTAAAAGGTCATGTCTGAAATATGGTCAGCAGTTTACATGATGAAACCATTTCGATCCAGAAAAGATGACACTTTATACTGTTCTCTGTGAGTAAAGTGAAGCATTTCATGAATCACTGAACAGACAGAAAAGTCATTTCCTTCAGCAGCCATGCTTTGAAGGAGAATTACTGATTCACAGATAAACAGATTTATCAATGTTCTGAAAGGCAGCAAAAAATGTTTAGTGTATTTTAAGTTTAATCTGTAATTGTTACAGTTTTGTCCTCAACCGGTTTAAGTGTGAGCCCACTGATCGTGGATTTGGGAACGCGTTTGTAACACTGTACAGCCACATCACAGCATGCTGACTCGGCTGCAGCAGTAGATATACATTATCTTGTAATTTGTGTGATGTTCCAGCAATGTCCTTTTGCACTTGATTATAGCGCTAGCCGAACAAGAGATTTTAGACTTCCAAGTCTCTTTGGCAATGTTGGCATGAACCTTCGGGCAGTTGTTCTAAGTCACCTCAGTAGATTCATGTTTTCATCAAACTCTCTGTAAGTGGCATTGACCCAAAGGCAGCCCTAAGCCTGGCTCAATGAGAAGATGTAACCAAATGAGACTGCCACAACAGAAACCGCCTATAGGTTAGCCGCCACACTATCTGATGGGTCCACCCAGTGTGTGTGTGTGTATATTTCTGTGACTGTGGGAGAGTCAGTATATGGTAGTGGTTCTTTGGAAGGGCTTTGGAGAAACATGCTTGTTGTTTAGATGGGGGTTTCTGTCAGTGTTTCTCTGAGGGCACTTCTCAGTTGAACTTGATTTATTACATAAACCCTGACATCTGTGGCCTAGGACCACCCTCATGAACATAATATTTTTGGAGAAACTAAAGTTGACGTTAGAAAGAGCAAATACTGGTTGCTCACTTCACCAGCCAGTCCAACTGCATCATTCTGATTGAAAAAAGCAACCAAACTAGCTTTGAGGACAGATATTGTTGCTAACCCACTATTGAAACTAATTAAAGTGATCATTTAAATTTTGTTTTCATTAACTCACTCTCATCTCATCCCAAAACATGCATAATATCTTCTTTGTTTTTTTAAGTGGAGCATGAAATGATGTCCCTGACAATACAGTAATACTAACCATACTGTTGTAAGACAGTAGATCACTTTAAATTAATGTTTCATTACATACAGTATATTACCAATTTAATGAATCATTACTTAAACATGCATTCACCACCATTTATCAGAGACTGTGTCCGTTTAGACCTGTTGAGCACCACTTTTTAGAGTACATAAAGATCATGTCATGGATGTATACTTAGGGCAGATTTGCACTCGGCCAGTTGTGCTACTTATAGATTGCAGATGAAAATGGTGAATCAGTGCATACTGTGTCATTGATGAACCACTTTTATGATACTGTAATGGTGCTTGCTTAGTCATTTTGAAGCTTGACAGCTCCAGTCTCCATTTCATTACATGGAATAGAGTAAGTAAGATCATCTTCAAAAATTCAGCTTTTGTGTTATACATGAGAGAGAGAAAGTCAAGCAGGTTTGGAACCACAGAAGAGTGTGTAAATGATGAGTTTTCCCAGATTACTATTCATTTAAGAGTTCATTTAGGTTTTTTTTTATAGTTACAGATTGACTAAGATATCTAGCAAATGTCTCCTCTGATCATGATAAACCACAGGCATTTGCAGAATACATATATTTGCATACAATATCATGATGTGTTTTGATGATGATTGGTGATTGCATATTGGTTTTAATGATTTTGGCGATTGCATATGACCGCTTTTGTTTCCATTTTTGGAGACCTACAGATTTTGGAGCAATGCATGGCACATGTGCTCTCACATGACTCGGTTGAGGTGACATGAACGGGTGCTGTACCTAAATTGCTATCAAGTTTTAGCAGACACTCATCTTGAGAATGACCAATGAGGGGTGTATGGCATTTGCAATGTGTTCTGTCGTGGAAGTGGTCAGAGAGGCATGGCCTCTGGAGGATGGAGGCCAACGGCCCATCTGAATGGGTGGGCTGCACATCCAGAGAGGCTTAAGAACACACACGTCCATGGAAGTGAGTCCACTGATAGTTTTCTGCTCACTGAACATACAATGCTCTATCATGGCACTATGTGCACAGCGAATGAGATAGTAAGGCACTCCCTCTAGACAACAGCCTTTCTTCTGCAGAGCTGTGATGAGCGGAACAAATTAAAACCATTACATAACACAAAGATATTAAGGTTCATCTCTGTCTTTTTGCATTCAAGTTCTGAACAATCATTTATATTGTTTGAGTTACAATTATTATATATTTACATGATAATTTTTTTTCCAAGTATAGTCAGATATACACAGAATATATAAAATTTTAGTTCTCTGCGGGGTTGGAAATCAGCAGGGAATGGGGCAAAAATGGCACTAAAATAAACAAAATATGCCCACAAACTATTAAACTAAAGTCATGATTAAAGTCATTGACTGCTTCAGGGAACGGAAATGTTCATTTCTCGCTTTATTCCCAGTTTGAACAACTGTTTTGTTTTTCATACTACTATGATTGGCAATGTGAAGTCTTGCTTTTTTAATACATAAAAAGCAATAAACTACATCATAAACAGTTTTCAGTTTATTTTGTCTATGCAGCCAACAAGAATATGACAGACAGTTTCCACAGATGTGGCAAATTTTTTATGTGTTCGATTAATCAACATTAAAAATCATTATAACAATATCAAGGGAAATAACTGACAATAATGATTTCATTACTTAATATTTCATAATATCGCAGCCCTAGCCTGTACCACCTTTGCAGTGTGACTTCTGTTGATGTTGATGAAATTGTATTGATAACAGCCTACAGTATTCTGATTGACTGAATAAATACTTGAATAAATATTTGACCTAAAAGACAACACAAATGCATTTAATAAGGTAATTAAAAAAAGGTAAAAAAAAAAAAAAAAGCCCATGCATGGAAATCAATTAGATGATGCATTTATTGCTCCTTAATGAAAAAGTTCAACAATCTGAGATGCATGAATGATGCGACACACAATGACCTCCCTATAAGAGAAGGGAATTGTCTGGAGAAAGCAACTGGTTTCTTCTTGGTGCCTGGACAGTAAAAGAATGTGAAATCAAGCTGGTCAAAGAAAGGAGCCCATCGAGCCTAATAAGGAGTCAATGTTTGGCTTGTTGGAGGTACTCCAGGTCTTTCATGACACAGTACTTAACATATTTTATGGATATTATTGGTGGAAATGAAAGAACCAACCCAGTCTCATAAAAATACGTACCTCTGGGTACTTTTCTGCAACACCGTTTTTACGTACCTTACTGCACGTTTCGCCGCAGTTTCAAAGAGAAATGTCCACTGAGTGGTGCTAAAACACGGGTTCAATACGTCAACCCTGGCACGTTTTTATTACGTTGATATAGGTACGTATTGCTGTGTTTTTATTACGTTTCCTCAGGTACGTATTGCGGCGATTCAGAATTCAAATATCTGGGGACTGTCGCTAAAAGTTAATGTTCTATCGTGTTGGAAATATGCACTACACCAAACCCAACCCTAAACCTACCCGATAGTGTTAACAAATGCACAACTGATATAAAAACAACATTTTTGATGCCCCCAGGTACGTTTTTGCCATGAGACCGGGTAGGAAAGAACTGTTACAAATCAAACTTTTAAATATGAATTGAAACAGTATATTTGCAAGCCAGAATATACTTGGGCACAGACTTGGTTAACCTGCTCACCATCAAGTATGAGAACCTCTACCAACACTATATATGCTACAGTGTTCCTTGGAGAACGTCCAAGCAATATGTTGGATACGACACGGTGTAGTGCATTGAAGATCTTGTCGTTCCATCCTATCTCCTACTCCTCGCCTGCACTCTTAAAAATAAAGGTGCTTCACGATGCCATAGAAGAACCTTTTTGTCTAAATGGTTCCGTAAAGAACCTTCAACATCTGAAGAACCTTTCTGTTTCACAAAAGGTTCTATGTGGCGAAAGAAGGTTCTTCAGATTACAAAAAGGTAAGAAAGAGATGGTTCTTTAAAGAACCTTTGACTGAATGCTTCTTTGTGGAACCAGAAATGGTTCTTCTATGGCATCGCTTGAAGAACCTTTTGAAGCACCTTTATTTTTAAGAGTGTGGGCAGAACATCTAAATATTATGGCATACAAGAGAGCATTTAATGTCAGGCACATAAATGCTTTATATTTAGTAAATCTTGCTGAAAATAGATGATTAAGCAGTTTGTGTTCAATATGTTTAGGTTTTGTTCCTCTGTAAGTTAAACAACACTTGTATGTAAATGAACCTCCATGCAGAACACTAAGCCAGTCGATTTGCCAGTCACACTTTTATAAACACATTTGAACTTTTCTAGTAAACCTACTTCTTGTAGCATATTAAAATGGTTTTGTTATGAGTATAGCATGTGAGGGCGTCATGGCAATTGTGCTGGAACACACCAGCGGTCAATCTAAGAGTTTAAACCCTTGATTCAGGGCTATTAGCCCGAGGAACTCTTTCTCTCGCAGTTTTTTTCTTTCTCTTTATACTTCCTCTCCCGATGGTGGGTGCAAAACAAGCGAGAGTCAGAGATGAGTGTGAGGCGGCAATGAGACTCCCCAATGAGGATGCGGAGCGATCTCTGCGGCTGTTAGATGATGATGGATCACGATTCCTTTGACTGTGGACCGGCTTCACTGAGCGCACCTGAGATGGAAAGCTGAGGGGTCACCGCAGTTTGGCGGAAAGTTCTGACCGGATGGAGCGCACATCTTCTGGAGGTGTTTCCTCGATGCAACTTCTCAAGGTCTGTAGTTTCCTCATAGTATGTAACACGTGTGAGAGACGAAAGATATCACCGATCTAAAAATCCCATAAACATTATTCGGCTGTTTAACGTATAATAAAACATAATAAAATAGAATAAAAAATGTATAGGCTCCTGGTCATTTAACCATTAATATTAAGGACACTTCCTTTAACTCTAAAACACAAGGCAATGCAATGCAAGGTTCAAAATACAGGTAAAACACCTGTAAAAATCCATACAGATTCCTTCATATTAATACAGCAGATCCATTTTTCAAGATAAACTTTCTAATTGTTAGTTTATTTAATTCCAGGTTTACAGTAAAAGAAACTACTTGTTCTCAGACTTTGATACATTTGGCATTTACATTTTGCAGTTGTTCATGCAGAATATTATGTATGTGTTTTAAGTGACTTAATTACAAGACTTACAATATTTGAATGTATATGAACAAATGTGTGAAATGTACTGTACGGTATAATATCATAACTACAGACCGTTAACATAAAAGTGTAGATAACCAACATTTTGTAAAATAAGTCACAAACTGCATACCCCTTTAATTCGTTTTTATACACATTCTCTGTACTGTATAATAATACAATTTAAATTGAGCTCAAGCTGATTTCTTGAAAACTGCTCAAATCAACAAGACTAGCTGCCATCAGATTTTGTTCATTAATTAAGGGCATATTTTTAAGACATTTTTTGCCTTCCTTAATTCTATGGCAAATCAAACACAGTTAGGCGCACATGTTTTACCTCACTGAATTGGCCGTGGCAGTATTCGTGTTTAGTTGCACATTGTGTAAGTATCCGTTGCAGATTTTGTCTGCGTTTTGCAGTTTTATGGACAGAACAGATAACAGATGTGCACTGTCCTGTAGCTGAAGATTTAGCCCCTATGTGCTAAGAAATATGTCAAATCTTTTTCAAATCTCATCTGTGTTATTAACTTCAGGAAAAGAGAAGGGGAAAATAATTATAACAACAAAATCAACTGTTTGTCTTTATTTGACTACCTCCTTTAGTCATCCTTTGACATATATTTAGATTTATGATCTGCATGTTTACTCTGAGCTTTTGTTATAGGCAGTTATTACACACACACACACACACACACACACACACACACACACACACACATTCAGGGGCTTATTTACAATGTGTTTAAGTGACATCCACCAGACAACTCTTTGGGACTGTATTCGAAAGTCTTTGTAATTCCACATTTGATTCCAGGAATGAGACTGAAGTAATAAGGTCATGAACGATGTTGAATGTAAAATAATATGCAGTGGTAACAATGGGATTTATTTCTCATTGACTGATAATGATTTGAGTGGCAAAAAGTGACTGATAGAAATGCATAACCATAACTGAACTCGACATGACCTTACCTTAACTGACCTGGACAAATGACAACCTCCACACGTTGTTCCATGACTGTACTCTTTACCCCATGTGCACAACCTGATAACTGAAAACATATTGCTAATTACAATGAGCAAACTTGAGCAAAATGGTTTATTTCATTTCAGACTCAAATCACTGCTGAGGTTTTAGCAACTGCATTTAAAGATTGCACACTTTTTTACACGTTCCTTTGAAAGGATCCACTCAACCAAACACCTATTTTCCCCTGAGGTGTCTCAGGCTATGAGGTTCCACGAATAGCGAGTACCATCTGTGTCCAGTTATCCTTGCTTTCCTCTAAGATATACAATGTGAGCCTGTGGCAGCCATTCCTGTCGGTTCAGATGGTATGGGAGAAGGCAAATCCCACATTAGGGAATGGCATGTTGAAAACACGAACAGGGGCCAGTTCATATACTCCAGGGAGAAACAACCTCAAACCTTTCCAAACGCGTAAATCTATGTTTTAATTGACTGTTTGCTAAGCTCCTCCTCTTGGGGTTGATCTTACTCGCTCAGACTTTACATCCGATAGGAATGAATTTGAGATTTCTATGAACTGGATCCTTATCGACCCCTTGATTTTGATCGAGGGAGTGAGTCTACACATATGTCAGACATTTCTACCATAATGCAACATGATTGTGACGTCACGGTGCAGATTGTGTCAAGTTAACCCCACTCCATGCAACTCTATGATATACGAGTTATTTTGAGATGAAGCTGCATAATACTTGTTGCTACACTTGTTTGTTACACAGTCATATATTATTGTATTGCTATTTAATTTGTTTGTGCAATATTTTATCCAACCGCCCAAGCAACAGGAGAAAAAAAAAGAGTAAACAATAAATCAGCTTCATAGTAGATTCCAAGTGATCAAGAATTTAAGACTTTTGCTGTCAGCCTCTTCCAGTTTGGCAGTACAAAAACATTATGCACTGGAATTTGGGGGAAAATAATTATAACAACAAAATCAACTGTTTGTCTTTATTTGACTACCTCCTTTAGTCATCCTTTGACATATATTTAGATTTATGATCTGCATGTTTACTCTGAGCTTTTGTTATAGGCAGTTATTACACACACACACACACACACACACATTCAGGGGCTTATTTACAATGTGTTTAAGTGACATCCACCAGACAACTCTTTGGGACTGTATTCGAAAGTCTTTGTAATTCCACATTTGATTCCAGGAATGAGACTGAAGTAATAAGGTCATGAACGATGTTGAATGTAAAATAATATGCAGTGGTAACAATGGGATTTATTTCTCATTGACTGATAATGATTTGAGTGGCAAAAAGTGACTGATAGAAATGCATAACCATAACTGAACTCGACATGACCTTACCTTAACTGACCTGGACAAATGACAACCTCCACACGTTGTTCCATGACTGTACTCTTTACCCCATGTGCACAACCTGATAACTGAAAACATATTGCCAATTACAATGAGCAAACTTGAGCAAAATGATTTATTTCATTTCAGACTCAAATCACTGCTGAGGTTTTAGCAACTGCATTTAAAGATTGCACACTTTTTTACACGTTCCTTTGAAAGGATCCACTCAACCAAACACCTATTTTCCCCTGAGGTGTCTCAGGCTATGAGGTTCCACGAATAGCGAGTACCATCTGTGTCCAGTTATCCTTGCTTTCCTCTAAGATATACAATGTGAGCCTGTGGCAGCCATTCCTGTCGGTTCAGATGGTATGGGAGAAGGCAAATCCCACATTAGGGAATGGCATGTTGAAAACACGAACAGGGGCCAGTTCATATACTCCAGGGAGAAACAACCTCAAACCTTTCCAAACGCGTAAATCTATGTTTTAATTGACTGTTTGCTAAGCTCCTCCTCTTGGGGTTGATCTTACTCGCTCAGACTTTACATCCGATAGGAATGAATTTGAGATTTCTATGAACTGGATCCTTATCGACCCCTTGATTTTGATCGAGGGAGTGAGTCTACACATATGTCAGACATTTCTACCATAATGCAACATGATTGTGACGTCACGGTGCAGATTGTGTCAAGTTAACCCCACTCCATGCAACTCTATGATATACGAGTTATTTTGAGATGAAGCTGCATAATACTTGTTGCTACACTTGTTTGTTACACAGTCATATATTATTGTATTGCTATTTAATTTGTTTGTGCAATATTTTATCCAACCGCCCAAGCAACAGGAGAAAAAAAAAGAGTAAACAATAAATCAGCTTCATAGTAGATTCCAAGTGATCAAGAATTTAAGACTTTTGCTGTCAGCCTCTTCCAGTTTGGCAGTACAAAAACATTATGCACTGGAATTTGTTATCATTGTTTGAATTTATTATCATAATTATAAACACACTAGTTTGTAGTGCAAACAAGTTTTACTGCTTGCACTTTATTAAGCTGGTTGCACACCAGACGAGAAGCACCACACCAGACATAATAAAAAAGAAGTCTTGCAGAAAACAGAAAATAGCTTACTTCAGTGTTCAAAAACTAGGAACAAGAAAACTGAATGTAAAACCAGAATATGGGGAATAACCAGAATATAAAATAAATTGGGTTAAAAACTTCTAGAGGGATTCTGGTTACGTTTAGGGTTAAGGGTTGGTTAGGAGAATATATTAAAGGTGGGGTAAGTGATTTCTGGTAGCCAATGTTGATATTTCAAATCACCAAAACAAGCACGCCCCTACCCCAAAAGGGACTCGCCCCTATTTTGATAGCTCCGCCCCACACATACGTACATAACCCATGCAATGATTGTGGCGGAATCTGCTTTATTATTATTATCTGCTGTATTAAACATATTATCTTACTTTTCGGACACACAAAATTTCCTCTTTTGTTTTTTATCTGCCATCTCTATCTTTCTGTCGTCGCTTGGCTCGGCTAATTTCCGTCCTGTGCACTGAGAGCTCTCTCCTCCACATCATGAGTAGACACGCCCCTTACTGCTGATTGGCTACGAGTTTGTTTTGGTACTCAGCCCGACTCAGTTTTCTAAAGCGTTTTTGAAAAAATACATACCCCACCTTTAATTAAATTTAAATAGAATAGAAAATAATTCCTTAAAAAAAAAAACATTACAAATTCAGATGCAAAAGCCTCTAAGTGCCATCTGAAATTTTCTTCTAAAATGAGCATTTTTCAGGCTCTCATGTGTAGGTTCAGTAATTTCACTTTAATGGCAGTGAATAGGTTATTTTATTTGCCATTAAAGTGAAATAACTGAATATAAATATAGGAGCCTGAGAAAAATGCTCATTTTAGAACATTTCAGATGGTACTTGGAGGCTTTTGCATCTGAACTCTTCATTTGTAATGTTATTTTTTGCATCTTTTGCATCTGAACTCTTCAAATATAGAATTGAATAGTACAATAGTATATGTAATAGTATAAACTATTATAAACTTCTTCTACCTTCCAAAATAAGTAAATAAATAAATAAATACTGCAGCACCACCCAAAGTTTTAGTGCCTTTTCATGCATTTAATGTTCAGGAAAAAAAAGTGTTTTAACAAATAACTGAGAGTTTTCTGTCAAAAATAGATATTTTTATTAATTAAATGTTTAATACACGTGTTGTAAAGAATTTTTCAAATAGTAGAAAGAATGTCAACTATTAAAAGTCTTGAATCATGATTTTTTTTTTTATATATATTTTGTTTATTTAATATGATTGTGTAATGTTTACTATGATATCACTTAGTTTTTAAAAGAGCTAAAGACTCGGTTATGTGTTGGTCAGACAGTCTGCTTTGTCAGACAGACCCATGGGCTGAGCTCTGACAGAAATTTTGTGGCCGAGTTTTGTCCTTAGGGTCTTGTTTAGGAACAATTCAGCTGTGACCTGAAATAAACCGGAGTTCGGAAATGACTTGATTTGTGTGTAGTGAGAGAGAATGCTGCTTCATTGCGTGACAGACATTATCAAAGAACTGCACTTTCTGTTACCTTACCTGCAGAAAAATCACTCAAAACACCATAGGAAATTCCTCCATAGGGAACTATTGGCAAATAATCCAAGAAGAGTTCTCAGTAATAAACAGAGCTCTGAGAAGGGCATTGATAATGAGTATAAGGTGTTTGTACTGCTGGAATGCACTGTGCATTATTCACAGTGGTCTTTTGCAGAGTATATTTGATTATTACAAAGACTATTGTACCTCCTGTTGTATTTAACTTACGGTAGGCTATTTTAAGGATTTTGCATGTACAAGCACAGCCCATTATGTTTATTCTCCAGTACCTCAAACACATCAGACATCAAGCTTTTAAAGGAAAGTATAGAGGTATTCTTTCAGTTACACCAGTCACAGTTTGGTCCAGAAAAGAGTGAAGTTGAGGCAAGGATCTTTTTGTTAGCAGTCTTTATTTACACAACAAAGGAATTCAATATCACAAGATAAGCTAACCAAATTGCAAAAGTTTGACATAAGCAAATGTGATCATGTGTTATGTGTATGCTAGGTTAAAGAGATGGGCCTTTATTTAAAATTCTGTCATCATTTACTCACCCTCCACTTGTTTCAAACCTACACTCTTAAAAATAAAGGTGCTTCAAAAGGTTCTTCAAGCGATGCCATAGAAGAACCATTTTTGGTTCCACAAAGAACCATTCAGTCAAAGGTTCTTTAAAGAACCATCTCTTTCTTACCTTTTTGTAATCTGAAGATCCTTCTTTCGCCACAAAGAACCTTTTGTGAAACAGAAAGGTTCTTCAGATGTTGAAGGTTCTTTACGGAACCATTTAGACAAAAAGGTTCTTCTATGGCATCGTGAAGCACCTTTATTTTTAAGAGTGTATATGCGTTTCTTTCTTCTGTTGAACACAGAAAAAGATATTTTGAAGAATGTAGGTAATCAAACAGTTGATGGTAGCCATTGACTTCCATAGTATGGAAAAAAATACTATGGAATTAATGGCTACCAGCAAGTGTTTAGTTACACACATTCTTCAAAACGTCTTCTTTTGTGTTAAACAGAAGATAGAAAAAGTTTTTGGAATAATGAATGTTTTTGGACTAATGAAACTTGCTGTATGATTTTATAGCACAATGAACTCCTTTATTTCAAAAGAAAATGTGATTTCTCAATTCATGACCCTTTAAAAAACATTGATCATCACTATGTTCTACTTAATCAGAAAGCTGACAAGTTGATATGAGCTTTCAGGGTTTATGGTGCCTGTTTGGAACACCCTAATATCTAGTACATCTAGTGTGTGAATTTTCACGGTGCAATCTTACAAGGTTCATTTTGCACAACAGTTTTGCCGTGTTTAACACATTTATCCAAATATCAACCATCTTAAAGATCTTTTAAATCAGAGGTCACCAAACTTGGTCCTGGAGGGCCGGTGTCCTGCAGAGTTTAGCTCCAACTTGCCTCAGAACACCTGCCTGGAGTGACTGCGGTTGATCCGAATTTTCAAAAACTCTGGTTGCAGTGTTATCGTGTATCGACAGCGACACCGCAGTTTTTGACTTGTGATGTCAGAGCCTGCGCTGTTATCTCCGCCTACTGGAAACTTTTTCAGGCTTCTGATTGGCCAACATGGCTTTACGGTTGAGATTAAATCGCCACCTGTTGGTTTGGCATGCTCTTGACAGTGCTTCATAGCATGCGTTTGTGTTTTCATGTGGACAGAGATTTTTTTTTTAAACGGAAGAAGGAAAAACTCCCGTGTACGTGTGGACATGGCCTAAGTTTGGTGACCCCTGTTTTAGATATTTTTATTATATATTTTTTACATCTAAATCTTGCACCTTGCAAATATCACTGACATTTTTTTTTTTTATCAGAATGTTTCCTTGCTGCATAATTCAGGTCATGGCAATCAAGTCTTTTGTGTCATTTTCCCAGTATCTTTTACATGAATGCATGTAGACTTTTTTATTTTATTCGACTTACATTTCTCATTTTCCTTTATTTGCAGAACATAAGTAAAGAGTCTCTGTCACCAACATGAGTTGGAGCTTTCTCACTCGACTATTGGAGGAAATCCACAATCACTCCACATTTGTGGGGAAAGTTTGGCTGACTGTGTTAATTATTTTCCGGATCGTTCTGACCGCAGTGGGAGGTGAGTCAATCTACTCCGATGAGCAGACAAAGTTCACCTGCAACACTAAGCAGCCCGGCTGTGACAACGTATGCTACGATTCCTTCGCCCCGCTGTCACACGTCCGGTTCTGGGTGTTCCAGATCATCATGATATCCACCCCCTCCGTCATGTATCTGGGTTATGCCATCCATAAGATCGCCCGTACCTCGGAGGAGGAGCGGTGCAAAAACCAGATTTATCAAAAGAGGAATCGCCACAGTCGGTGGAGAAATGGACACCACCGTGAGGAGGTCTTGGAGGAAGATGACGCCGAGCCAATGATCTATGAAGATGAGCCGTGTGTCGCACTCGTTCAGCGCCTCGTTTCGCATCGACGGCTTTCAGCCTCACCCTGCTTCATTCTACTACGTTAATAAATCATTAGCTCATCCATGAACATGATTTCTGCCCGAGTCCCATTGGATTGCATCGGCTGTGAGGATGAAGACCACAACTCCCATGATTCCACACTCAGTCACGGCCTCATCAAACTAGGCCTTTGATTCTTTGTTTATTTTGAATATGCGCCCTCTAGCGGCGAAAATTACATATTGTGCCTTTAAAGCAGTATTTCTTGTGATTTAACTTATTTTCCATTGTTTCCAAGACCATTATGCACACAATTTAACTCTGAGCAGTCTGGTGTAACAACTATGAGTATGTTTTGGTGTGTTGGTGGCAAATTCATATGAATTTTTATGATTTGAAAAAAAGTGAGTATTATTTTGTAAGCATTCTTAGATAGGACTTTTAAGAAGTATAATTTCAAAGCTCTGTAAAATGTTTTCTTTAGAATCACTATTCCAAAATGTGCCTTTACAAATTACAATTTTACAGATGATGTTTTAGGATGATTAAGAATAATAATAAATGTAGGATTCATTTATCAAGATTCTTCGACGTTTGAAGGGTTTTATTTTGGAATCTGTTCAAAATATCTATTTTTTTCTAGTATATACTGTTCACTAAAACATTATTTCAGAAATGTGCATTATTACAATGTTCAAGTGTGTGAATGGCAATCCAAAAATGCACACAAGAGATCCACATATAAGGTGTTATAGCTGACCAAGAACTGGATCACTTGGCATGTCAGAGGTGAGCTCAATTTGTATTTATTTACTTTGTGCCCGGATATGGTATGTGCGGATAAGCACATGGATAACAAACCTGTCTAATTTTTTACAAACTGCATTATTCTTTCTCTTTTGTAAGTTGCTTTTTGATAAAAGTGTCTGCTAAATGCATAAATGTAATTGTAAATGGATAACTTGAATGTAGATAAGCAAATGGATATCATATGTGTGGATAAGAACATAGGTACATCAATCATAACAAAACCTGAAGGAAGCACTACAGATCCATCTCCCATATGATCATGGAGAAATAAAAACCTTGCATGTGAGCAGCCACTACTAGATCTGTATTACCAGTTATTATTTCAAGACAGGCTATTTTCTTGATGAACTAGGTATTTATTCAGATTGAAATAAGTAAAGGTTTTGATACCACACTATGACAACACTCCATTGTGTTCCTGTATTCAATTATTATTGTATTATTATGTAGAAACAAATGTAAAAGTACACATTGTGCAGTGGTTCCTGACAGTGTATAATATTTTTGGATTTATATAACTGCTACATAAATGTGTCATGCTAGGTGTTGAGATCATTTTAACTATTTTATATACTGTTTGGTAGCCAGGAAACATATACAGAAAAAAATGTATTGATTTAAATTTTAAAATCACATGATCGGTCTTCTAATAAACCCCATTTTTAGTAAATGTAAAAATAATTTCTACAGTCCTGCAGATGTCTCTGCAATGTGGTGATTCTGACAGTGATGCAGTTCAGTGACAAATATCTTTTGGTGTTTTGGCGGTGACTACATATTTGATTGCACCGTTAACAGCCTACAGCCTAAGGCTGCATCTTTAGTGCTTAAAGTCTATGTTGATATATAAGATGCACCAAAAAAAAACAAGTCTGGAAACACTTTTTAAAGAAAAAGAGCAGTACACACAATATGTTGGCTGCCATGATACTGCTCCCATTAAAGCGCTGGTTCTCTGTAATGTTAAAGGGTGTGTTAAAGCTATATTAATATTATTAAACTGTATTTGCAAAACTATTTTATTATTATTGATAAGAATAATACATGTTACCTCTCAAACATCACTAATTTCTGTCATTTTGTCAAATATTTTCCTTGGTTAAACATCTTGATTTGATGTTTTCTTTA